AGTTTGTTCTGCTGGAGCATTCTCGTCAGCGCCTCGTCGCCACTGTTGTGCACCTCTTCAATCTGACTCTCCGCCAGACTGATGCCGATCAGCAGACCAATAACTTAAATTAAAATAACCACGGTACTTATGTTTAGTTAGTAGAACGTGTAGTATTACCGAAAAGGTGTGCAACTCTCGTGACGAAATAGGACTTGGTCACGTTATCTTGATTTACTGAGTGGATTTAATCCTGGGAAAGCCCTTTAGTCAGGAAACTCGCTCTTCTAGTAAGGTTTATTAAGAGTAATGAACATTAATTTTGGCGAAATTTGGAGTAGTCTCATATCGAAGGAATTCCCTATACTATTACGTACTACAGAACCAAACTTTTTATGAATGTGTATTGTGCTATGGAAGAACTCCGAAATAAGTAAGGGAACTTCAAAATATATCTCTTCCAGAACCAGAAAATTCAGTCCGAAGTTGCTCGAATCTAAGTGAAGTCAATTTTAAGGAATTTTCTTTATTTCCAGCAACAAGGAACAATTTCAGTTTAAGAAATCTTTTTTGCTAAACTCTTAAGTTTTTTATCACAAAATGCAGTAACAAAAAGTTTTGGTCGCATTTCATTTTACTGAATTGCTTGAATGGCACATCAGCAAAAGTGTCAATATAGATTATCGCGGAGGCCTTATTAAATATAAATCACAGAAATATGCTTTTTTGTACAATGTACTTTGCGCTTGTGTCATTTTAAAACGGAAGAGACAGAATAATAATAATTAATTAACTATCTTCTTATATATGGCCAGACTTTTTGCATTCATGAGCCTAGAACAGGGACTGGAAGTAATCTACTATGGCGAAAAAAATCCACTAAAAGTAGAAAAATGAGTTCTTTGATCTCCAGTCGAAGTTGATCATTTATTTTCAGGTAAATTAATAAGAAAAATGTGAAAAATCTCCATTTTCATTTTGACATTACCTTGAACAAAGAAACTCGTCAGCTGAATATCTAATTAAAGCGCTTTTTAAAGAGGTAACCTATTGTAGAAAGTTTTTTTTATTAATGCTGGGCATGTTGCGGGCGTTCGTTTTGCTCGACAATGTGTTTTGCTGTTTAGAGGCACCTATAAATATGGTCCACATATCATCTACAAAAGAACTAATATCTTCTCCTAATATATATCTTATTTTAAAGGTTTTGATGTAAACATCGAGCGGAATCTCGATTGAGAAAAGATGCCGGAAGTTAAGGGACGGTATTAAATAAAGAGTTATCAATTAATGGTTATAAACATAAAAAGTTGACTAAATAAAGTTTATTTTTATATAAAGAAAGTAGTTAGGTTATGTATTCAAACTAAGAAAGATTTTAGTTTGTTATTCGAATTTATAGCTATTTTCGCATCTCCGGAACTTAGGAATTATCAAGAAATTTTATTATTCTTGACGAACACTTAGTACTTCCTATACTCCTATTAAGTACCAGATTTATCTCATATTCTCCATCATTATTTCCACGCCGGTTTGCGAATAATGATCAAATTTTTACAATATTAGACATGTTGCACGTATTCTGGGCCGTAATGTATGTTTCAATCTGCTGATCAGCGGACCGACAACTTAAGTTAAAACAAACAGGGTACTTATGTTTAGTTAGTAGAATACATTCATATCATCGTGTGATCAAACGCCGACGGCGGAAAGATGATGCTAATGATTTACCTGCGGCGAGGAGGAGAAGGAGTTCGAGGAGGACGACTTTCCAGGGTTTGCGTTCACGACTGCGAAGAAGCAGGAGGTGGACTATCAGTGCCAAAATTCCCGAGCAGACGCCAATGACAGCCATGACCTTTGCGGCAATCCATGGTGATTCTGAAGAAAAAAAACGGCGGTGACCGTCTCAGTAAAATTAAGGAGAAAGCATACTCGTGGGCGCGTGGGAAATTTTCATACGAGTAGTTTTGACGATATTAGTTGGTGTTGGCCGGTGGCGTGAGAAAAACGTAAGTCTAGAACAGCTGTGGTCTCATGCACCCGTAAAGGTCTACGTTTCACAGGTCGGTATAGCTCATTGCTGTTGACAATCATATTACTGAAATCCAATTGGGGAGCGGAGGATGGGTCGCCTCGAACATTGCTTATGTTATTCGTTGGCTCGATTCTATGGGACAAAAAGGCTTTTTCCTGCCCAGAATATGCTGTTAATTGATGTTGTTCACGAAAATAAGACTCATTCTGGGTGAAAATAGACATGTTATGCCTGAGAACTGTTCAATACCAGTAGGTTTCTATGCTAAGACGCAGTTGCCGGCAAAGGCAAGGGACACTGGAATGGCCATTTCTGGCTTATTAGCCATCGTCAGTCAGTCATACCCAAACCTAATTGGTGCACCACTCGAGGCTCGAACTCACGACCTTTTTGATCAGCGTCAAAAGCTCTAACTATTGAGACAAAAGTTTGTTGTCTTGCCGATTGAGATCAGGAGATATTGAAACCCGTTGATGAACGTTCACCGATCGCTAACGAAACTCACTAGTCGCACTCACTCGTGGGGTGTGTGAACTGATTTTAGGGAGGCACGGAGGCATATTTCAGTATAACCCATTGTTTATGCGCACGAAAGTCGGGCGAACCAGAGCACTAAAAACCACACACTTTTCATTTAGGCTTTATCAAATCCTAAACTTGTGCTGCTTTACGTCTAAAGGCCTGGCAACTGCGCCGACAAGACAAATTTCCGTTTCAGCAACTAGTGGGTAGGGGAAATGGTGGTGGTCCCATAGTTCAACTACGCAAATCGAAGTCAAGAAACTGACTGAGAGCCCTTCTCCGGCCGTCTATCTTTGCCGTTATCAACTAACGCAGTAAATAAGCCTGCCCCTAGCCAAGTAACCATTCCATTGTCTGTTTTATGCGCAGTTGAATTGTAGCAGCTGCCTGGAGTTGAATAGAACTTGCAAAGCTTGGAAAACTAAATGTATTTTTAAGTCCCCCCTACCTAACCCATTTGGAGGTTGGTGTTCG